CTGATGCTGATGCTGATGATGATGATGATGATGATGATGATGATGATGATGACGATGATGATGATGATGATGATGATGATGATGATGATGATGATGATGATCAGGAGGAGGAGGAGGAGGAGGAGGAGGAGGAGGAGGAGGAGGAGGAGGAACGTACCGCCTGCTGGGGCGCCTGTAGCGCTGCCACGGGAGGTCTTAGGGGACGAGGAGGAGGATCGGGAAGAGGAGAAGAAGGATGAGGATCGCAGACGTCATACGATCGGTTCTGCTGACCCTGTAAGGACCCTGGGCAGTGGCGGCTTTGATGCGAGGGCGAATCTGTCAGGTCCTCGGCACACCCCGCCTCTGCGCAAGGGCCGGGCTCAAGAGGCCTCGTGGACATTTCGGGGGCTCCTGGGGACTTCTTGGGGTGGTTCCTGGGCTGCCTTGGTGGCCCAGTTAAAGCATGTGATTCTCGAGGGTCTTGGTGTTACGCTGCATGGGGTTGGCTTCCAGCGGCGCAGCGGCGGCGCGCTTTTTGGAACCCTCTCTGGGACGTCTTGGGGGCCTCTTGACCCCTGCTGGGGGCTTCTGGTTCTGCCTGCCGGTATTGGGGGCTGCTTCGGCGTCCTGGCCGCTCCTGCGACCGAAATCGGCAAGAGCATGACATCTCACAAGCGCATCAGGGATTCAGCAGATTTTGGTTTCTTGGGCCAGCCTCCACGGCCTCCAAGACGACCCGAGAGACACCCACGAGCGCCGAAGCTGGCCCAGGTATGGCTCGAGAGGGCTCTAGCGAGCCTAGGTGTCCCAAAGATAGCCAAACTGGCCCCACGATTACCCGTGCCACTTGGCAGGCCCCCTCCCCTGGACACGCAGCAGCGAGGAGGGGATCAAAGGGAAGTTTCCTCATTTTGATTTGATTGCGACCCAGGTCGATTCACTTCGGGTTGGCGAACTTGGAGAACCCCAGGTGGCCGCAGGAAAAGGGGGGGAGAGCTTCGACTGGAGAAGCGTCTCACAGGATCAGCCCGGGACAACCACTCCAGGATCTCCCGCGCACGCGCCGACAAGCTCAGCGGAGTGCATCTCGCGCGACGCAAGTGGCTTGAGGTCAATGGCGTGAGTAAGCGGTCAGGAGCTTTCGCTTGGCGTGTCGCGTCGCTGGTTCTGGCCCACCGCGCTTCGGCGCGACACGCCAACCACGTCCCAGTTCCCCGGGCGTCACGGGAGGAGGAGGAGGAGGAGGAGGAGGAGGAGGAGGAGGAGGAGGAGGAGGAGGAGGAGGAGGAGGAGGAGGAGGAGGAGGAGGAGGAGGAGGAGGCAAGTTCCCCGGGCGTCAGCGTCCCGAGTTCTGGCCAGGCCCCCCGCCACGCGGAGCGGGGCGACGAGCTACTCGCCTGCAGGACATAGCGTGTCGCCAGGGCCGCCGCCGCGGCATGGGAGGCAGAAAAGGCAGGGTGCCTCCGTCGCGGAGTTCCTTCTGGCGCGGCTTGCCAAAACCAGGAGGGGCCAGGAGCGATGCATGCAAGGCATGCAGCTGTCCGTCAGTCGAGGGGGGGTCCCTTAGAATATACAGACCGGCAGAGCAGCACCTGGAGTTCTAATACGCCCACACCGTGCTGGCACGATGGCCGCATCAAGTTGTGCCACAACGTATCCTTATGCCACGGGAGGGAGGGTGGGAATGGGCGAGGAACGCTGATTCGGTCGACCTGGCTGCTTTGACTCTTCCTCCTACTCTTCCTCTTTCTTCCGCCATCGCTTCCTTCCTTCTCCTTCCCGTCCTCCTCCCCCCTCCTTCTGTCTCCTCCTCGCCTCTTTTTCCCCCTCCTCGCCCACCCTCGTCCTCCTCGCCTGGGAGGACGTTATCGGCGCGCGTTGTGTCCCAGGAGCAGGAGCATGTTTCGTTGCCATTCGCCCCTGCCCCCGGGGCTCTCCATCTCGCGTCGCCTCCTTCCGCGTCTCCTCCTTCCTCTCCCCGCCCCCTCCTCTTTCTCCTCGCCCCCTGCCCGCTTCACAATTACACAGTATGAATACTACTCTCCTCTCTCGCTCTCTCTCTCTCTCTCTCTCTCCCCTGATGACGTCCGGAAGATGTCCGGCCCCCCTCCGCGTAGTGTTTTTTACGCAGGATTCTTGGGAGTTGGTTTTCGCTGTTTTTTTCCAACCATCCTGTGGTGTTGGGTCCTCGTTTTGAAGAGACGGTCCCCGCGTCCCTCTCCTCATCTCCTCCTCCCCCTCGACCCTCCCTCTGAGCACACCTCTCGCACGTTTCGTGTCCCCATAGGGAGCTCCACCTAAGGTCCCAGTGGCGCAGTCCGCATGGCGGCGCCGCCCTATTTTGGCACACTCCTCACACGTTTCGTGGCTCCATAGGGAGCTCCACCTAAGGTCCCATTGGCGCAGTCCGCATGGCGGCGCCGCCCCAGTTTGGCACACCTCTCACACGTTTCGTGGCCCCATAGGGAGCTCCACCTAAGGTCCCAGTGGCGCAGTCCGCATGGCGGCGCCGCCCCATTTTGGACCGCCCTTCACACGTTTCGTGGCCCCATAGGGAGCTCCACCTAAGGTCCCAGTGGCGCAGTCCGCATGGCTGCGCGGCCCCGTTTTGGCACACCTCTCACACTTTTCGTGAGCCCATAGGGACCTCCACCCAAGGTCCCAGCGGCGCAGTCCGCATGGCGGCGCCGCCCCATTTTGGCACACCCCTCACACTGTTCGTGGCCCCATCCAAAGCTCCACCTGAGGTCCCAGTGGCGCAGCCCGCATGGCGGCGCCGCCCCATTTTGGAACACCCCTCGCACGTTTCGTGGCCTCATAGGGAGCTCCACCTAAGGTCCCATTGGCGCAGTCCGCATGGCGGCGCCGCCCCAGTTTGGCACACCCCTCACACATTTCGTGGCCCCATAGGGAGCTCCACCTAAGGTCCCAGTGGCGCATCGTTATTATCATCGCCATCATCGCCGCTCGCCCCTCGCGCGTTTCGTGGCCCCATAGGGAGTTCTCCGAAGGCCCCAGTGGCAGCACCCGCATGGCGTCCCCGCCCCATTTCGGCACATCCCACACACGTTGTTTGGCCCCACAACGGGGGCTCTACATCAGGCCCCAGCAGCAGCGCCCGCATGGCGGCCCCGCCCCATTTCGGCACACTTATCACGCGCTTCGGGGCCCCATGAGGAGATCCACCGAAGGCGATACTAACAACGACGGTATTCGCAACTGCATATGGTTTGTGGTCCTTCGCCAGGCTAATCTCAAAATGCTGCTCCAGCTGAAGCGCTGGCCTCATTTCCGCGCTTTCGCTCGTTCCGAATCTTGCTCTCTCTGCAGCGCTGGCGTCATTATTTCCAGTGCCATGCCACGCCATGCAATGCAATGCTATGTGGCGTTTCGCTGTGCGATGCCATGCCTTCAGCTGCAATGCTAGGATATGCAGTGCTTGACTACGAAATGCCACGCCATGTCATGCCATGTTACGCTTTGAGCTTCAACGCCATGCTATGCCATGTTCTGTTCTGTGCCGCTGTACGATGCTATTCTTTGCGTTGAAATGCTTTGTGATGCGATTCTTCACTACGCAACGCCACGCCAGGCTATGACATAACACGCTCTGCCGTGCTCTTCTACGCCCTGCTATGCCGTACTCTACGATGCATCGCGCACCCTCTCGGGATCATTGCCCTGCTCGACATCCGACTGTGCGAATAGAGAGGACATCTGCGCTATGGCGAGGGGTGGGGAGGGTGGGGTGGGACGTCTGATATGACGCGAGCGCACTTGGCTTGCCTTCCTCCTCCTCCTCCTCCTCCGCCTCCTCCTCCTCCTCCTCCTCCTCCTCCTCCTCCTCCTCCTCCTCCTCCTACTCCTACTTGCGACATCGTCGCGAGCCGCGTCCTCCTCCTCCTCCTTTTCCTCCTCCTCCTCCTACTTTTCCATACGCTGGAGTTCTGGGTGTGTGGGGGTTGGGGGGGGCGGGGAGCGCCACCCCCGGGCCTCTCGGGGACTCGCGCGGCCCGGGCCCCGGCGGAGAGGCGCGCCAGAAGCTCGTGGAGCTCTCGCGGCAGAGCAGGGCGGCGAGGGAGGCGAGCAGGGAGCAGGCGAGTGGCCCGACTTTGGGCCTCCCAGGATGAGCCTGTTTTCCACCACCACCACCATTAGTTGGAGGGGGGAAGGGAGGAGAGGAGGAGGAGGAGGAGGAGGAGGAGGAGGAGGAGAGGAGGAGGAGGAGGAGGAGGACGAGGAGGAGGAGGAGGGAGGGGAGGAGGAGGAGGAGGAGGAGGAGGAGGGGAGGAGGAGGAGGAGGAGGAGGAGGACGAAGAGGAGGAGGAGGAGGAGGAGGACGAGGAGGAGGAGGAGGACGAGGAGGAGGAGGAGGTGGACCCCCCTCCAACTTATTGTGGTGGTGGTGGTGGTGGAAAACACGCCCATCATCCCAGATGGGGCCCGAGCAGATGGGGTCGGAGAATCGCGCCGTATCGCCGATGCATCGCCAATGCGTTTCGATGTGAGCCTGGTTTGCTCCACGCTGGCGTCGCCGATGCGTCGGCGATGCATCGGCGATGCGGCGCGATCCTCCGACCCCATCTGCTCGGACCCCATGCGGCGCGCTCCTCACCTCCTCCTCCTCCTCTCCTCCTCCTCCTCCTCCTCCTCCTCCTCCTCCTCCTCCTCCAGAGAACAGTTGCGGGTACCGTCCTTGCGAGTATTGTGGTCGGTGGATCTTCTCATGGGGCCACGAGGCGCGCGAAGGGTGTGCCAAAATGTGGCGGGACCGCCATGCAGGCGCTGCATCTGGGACCGTAGGTGGAGCTCCTTATAAGGCCACCACACCTGAGGGGTTCGCGGACATGGAGGGTGGGACCGAATGCGGGCGTTGCCACTGGAGCCTTCGGTGGAGCCCCCTTTGGGGCCATGAAGCGTGTGAGGGGTGCTTCGACATGCGTGCGCTGCCACTGAGCCCTTCGGTGGAGCTCCCTACGGGGCCACGAAATATGTGTGAAGGATGCAGCGATATGGGGGTGGAGCTGCATGCGGGCGCTGCCACTGGGGCCTTCGGTGGAGCTCCCTATGGGGCCACGAAACGTGTGAGGGGTGCACCGAAATGGGGGTGGAACTGCATGCGGGCGCTGCTCCTGGGGCGTTCGGTGGAGCTCCTTATGAGGCCACGAGCCGTGTGAGGGGTTCACCGAAATGGCGGGTGGAACCGCATGCGGGCGGCACCACTGGGGCCTTCGGTGGAGCTCTCTATAGGACCACGAAACGTGTGAGGGGTGTACCGAAATGTAGGTTGGAACTTCATGCGTGCGCTGTCACTGAGGCCTTCGGTGGAACTCCTCATGGGGCAACGAAGCGTGTGAGGGGTGCACCTAAACGGGGCGGGGAACTGCATGCGGGCGCTACCACTAGGGCCTTCGGTGGAGCTCCCTATGGGGCCACGAAACGTGTGATGGTGTGCCGAAGTGGTGGGTGGAACTGCATGCGGGCGCTGCTCCTGGGGCGTTCGGTGGAGCTCCTTATGAGGCCACGAGCCGTGTGAGGGATTCACCGAACTGGAGGGTGGAACCGCATGCGGGCGCTGCCACTGGGGCCTTAGGTGGAAACGTGTGAGGGGTGTGCCGAAATGGGGGTGGAGCTGCATTTGGGCGCTGCCCCTGGGGCGTTCGGTGGAGCTCCTTATGGGGCCACGTGTGAGGGGGGCACCGAACTGGAGGGTGGAACTGCATGCGGGCGCTGCCACTGGGGCCTTCGGTGGAGCTCCCTATGGTGCCACGAAGCGTGTGAGGGGTGTGCCGAAATGGGGGGTGGAACCGCATGTGGACGCTGCTACTGTGGCCTTCGGTGGTGCTCCCTATGGTTGGGCCAGGAAGCGTGCGAGAGGTGTGTCGAAATGGTAGATGGAACCGCGTGCGGGCGCTATCATGGAGACTATGACAGCGAGCATGATGACGATGATGACGATGTTGATGGCGATGATGATGATGATGTTGCTGCTGCTGATGATGCTGATGATGCTGATGATGCTGATGCTGCTGCTGATGATGCTGATGATGATGATTCTGATGATGCTGCTGCCGATGCTGATGCTGATGATGACGATGCTGATTCTGATGATAATGCTGCTGTTGCTGATGATGCCGATGCTGCTGATGATGATGGTGATGATGATGATGATGCTGATGATGATGATGATGATGATGACGATGTTGATGCTGGTGATGCTGCTGATGATCTTGATGATGACGACGGTGATGATGATGCTACTGATGATGATGCTGTTGATGATGATGCTGATGATGACGCTGCTGATGATGACGATGATGATGATAAAGATGATGCTGATGATGATGCTGCTGATGATGATGACGATGATGATGCTGATACTGATGATGCTGATGATGCTGATGATGATGGTGATGATGGTGATTCTCATGATGCTGATGCTGATGCTGACGATGATAATGATGCTGCTGATGATGATGCTGCTGATGATGATGATGATGATGATGAGGATGGTGGTGGTGATGATGATAATGTGAATGCTGAGGCTGATGCTGATGATGATGATGCTGCTGCTGATGATGCTGTTGATGCTGATGCTGATGATGACGCTGCTGATGATGACGATGATGATGATGACGATGATGCTGCTGATGATGCTGCTGATGACGACGACGATGATGATGCTGCTGATGCTGATGATGCTCGTGATGATGATGATGATGATGATGATGATGATGATGATGATGATGATGATGATGATGATGATGCTGATGATGATGATGCTGATTCTCATGATGCTGATGCTGATGCTGATGCTGATGATGATAATGATGCTGCTGGTGATGATGATGATGATGATGATGATGATGATGAGGATGGTGGTGGTGGTGATGATAATATTAATGCTGATGCTGATTCTGATGATGATGATGATGATGATGATGATGATGATGGGTGATGATGCTGATGATGATGATGATGATGATGATGATGATGATCACGGCGATGAACATGATGCTGCTGCTGCTGGTGATGATGATGATGATGATGATGATGATGATGATGATGGTGGTGGTGGTGGTGGTGGTGGTGGTGATGAGGATGAGGATGAGGATGAGGATGAGGATGAGGATGAGGATGAGGATGAGGATGAGGATGATGATGATGATGATGATGATGATGATGATGATGATGATGATGATGATGATGATGATGATGATGATGATGATGATGGGAGGAGGGAAGAGGGAGAGGAGGAGTGCGGAGTGAGGAGTGGACGCGGGGCGCTGTCTCTTCGAAACGAGTACCCTACACCACAGCATGGCTGGGAAAAATCATGACGTCGGGCGTCTAGGTTTTCTTCACCCCGACATCGCCGACGCATCACCGATGCATCCGCGATGCGGTACGCTTCTGAGACCCACGCGCTCCAGCCCCACTGGGGCGGCCTGTGGGGGCGCTTGAGGGAGATGAGGGCCCTCCCACATGCTGATGCGACGAGGGGCTGACGACGCGCGTTTTTTGTTTTTTGTTTTTTTGTTTGTGCTGCTTCGGCACCCAGCGCCACTGTCGGAAATTGAAACATATACATTACCAGTGTCAGGCTGTTTTTCAATTCCAGGACTTTTTGAGGGTCGGGGACGACGTCGGAGTGGTGTGGTGTATACTTTGTTCATCCGTTTTCCGGGGAAACAGCGGAAAATATATACGCCAGGGTCCCGCATGCACCAGGATCCGCGTATCTGTGCAAATTTCAGTGCAGGGCCGAAACAAGCGTCGGTGAATAGAGTTCGGTTCCCTACTCTGCGGATCGATCCAGCTCGAGGCATCACGAGAGGAGGTCCACATGCTCTGCCACGGGGGAGGGCTCGGGGAGCTTCGAAGGGACAGCGCCTGGGGCCCGGAGCTCACAAGCAGCTGCCAGCGTCCCTTCTTTGTCGTCGTCGTCGCCGCCGCCGTCGTCGTCGTCGTCGTCGTCGCCGTCGTCGTCGTCGTCGTCGTCGTCGTCGTCGTCTTCGTCGTCGTCGTCTTCCTCCATTCTTTTTCCTTATATAAGTTGACTCCTTTCTGTCGCGCCTCCAGACGTGTCTGTAGGGCGGGCCGGGCACTTCGGTTGAGACTTCCTCACCATCTATGGTCCTGAAATTTGAATTTGCAGCAGCTTCAAAGAAGGATGACGGGTCGTTTTCAAAATGTGGGTCTGGCCGAGGTTGGTGGGCGGCTGGTTTTCAAAGTGTGGGTCTCGCCTTAGCGCCGCGCATATTCGTTTTTAAGGTTTGCAGCAGTTGCGCGTATGGTTGAAGTCCCAGGACGTGTGTCCTGGCACAATTCAGGATTGTCAGGACGCAACAGTCACGTTAATTCGCGGCGTTGAAATCCCACGAATGGTATTCTGGCACGATGCAGTCACTTTTGATTCGCGGCGTTGAAGTCTCAGGAGTTGCACTTTGGCACGACTGAGGATTCTCACACGTTTGTGTTCCAATGTCGCACTTCACGCAATGAAGATCAATCCTTCTGGTAGGGACCTGTGAAGAGGGAACTTGCAGGGAGGGTTTACTGCAACGTCGTCGATGCGCCTTGGGTTTGCACTGGTCCTCCTCCTCCTCCTCCTCCTCCTCCTCCTCCTCCTCCTCCTCCTCCTCCTCGTCCTCCTCCTCCTCCTCCTCCTCCTCCTCCTCCTCCTCCTCCTCCTCCTCCCCCTTCCTCCTCCTCCTCCTCCGCTGGCACTGCTCAGCCCTGCCTGCGCCCTCCCGCCTAGGGCCGCAGGGCCAAACGAGCGCTGCGGACTCCCCTGGTCCCCGTCGGCTGGCAAGCCGGGGACGGCCTGTGCCGCAGGCGCTGGCTGATGAGGAGGAGGAGGGGGAGGAGGAGGAGGAGGAGGAGGAGGAGGAGAGGAGGAGGAGGACGAGGAGGACGAAGAGAGGGAGGAGGAGAGGAGGAGGAGGAGGAGGAGGAGAGAGGAGGAGGAGGAGGAGGAGACGAGGAGGACGAGGAGGAGGAGGAGGGAGGAGGAGGAGGAGGAGGAGGAGGGGGAGGAGGGGGAGGGGCAGGTCCAGCGGGAGCTCACCACCCACCAGACCACCCCAACCCAACCCGAGGGCCTCCATCTGCCCCCCCTTTCGAGTAGGGGGGGGGGGGGGTCGGGGGGAGCACTCACAAGACAACTGTGGAACCCGTACCCCCCCCGTGACCCGAAGTGTGGGCCTTCGGGTTGGGTTGGGGGTGGTCTGGTCGGCGCGGCCAAGCGCCTCCGTGCACACCTGGCTCCTCGGCGCGCACGCGTGCGCTGTCTCCTGCGTCGCGGTGCACTCGCGGAGCCGGCCTTGGCGCCTGGCTCCGCGGGCTTGGCCGCCGAGGGGTCCCCCGCGTGCCTCCGCCGTGGATCTGCCGCGCGCGCGCGCAGGAGGCCGCGGCGCACGGCCTTCGCACTCGCGGTGCCCGGGCCCGAACGTCTCCTGGGGCGGAGCCTCCCGGTGGTCTTCGCCTCTGGCCCCTGGCTGGGAGTCGGGCCCGTCCCTCCACAGGAGGAATCTTCAGAAATAGTCCCAAAATAGTCTGGGGACTAGTTCTGGGGCATTTTTGGACCACTCTGGGGGCATTTTTTGAATATTTTTAGTTTCTCGCCCAAAATCCCCATGTAGGGGGACAGGCCCGGCCTCGAGAGCCAGGGGCCGTCGGATTTCGCGTTTCGGTGCAGCTCAGGCCTGCCCGAGAGCGCGCCAGTGCTTGCTGCCCCGTGGCCAGCGGCGCCAGCGCCGGCTGCCTTCGCGAGCCCTGCACGTGCCTGGACTCACTGGCACTGGGCGCCGCCAGCGCTGGCTGCCCCGGCGTGCCCCCCAACCCCCCAGAGGCCCTCGCGTCGTGAAATCATGACAGAACGGTTTGGACAATTTTCTGCCTCGCCCAAACCCTTCGGGTCGTGAAAGAATGACGGTCAGGTCAGGTCAGGTGTGCCAGGCGCTTGCACGGCGCATTGGTATTCCAAACCACTTTTGAGCTTCGCACATATCCTACATAACAGGTTACACTGCCAGCGGGAGGAGGAGAAAGGGAGAGGTAGAGAGAAAGGGAGCGAGAGGTAGAGGCAATAAGCATTAATTGTCAAGTCACTTCTGGACGCACTCAACCCATTGGTGCTTGGGCCTCCCACGTCTTCGCTCGAGAACAGACCATTGTGGCTCGGGTGAGCCAGGCTCGCAAGTTCAAGCCATCAGCAGGCTGTCGTGCGGCACGGCAGCAATGGCATTGTACAACTTCGCTTGTTTTCCAGCCCAAACATGTAAAGTTATTTGTCCTGCTTTTTCGAAAGTATCGCTGTTCGATATTCTCGAAACGAAGGAGCAAGGTACCGACGTAATTCCACGAAGACATAGGGTATGGCCGCCGTCAAGGTGGCGCTTATCCGCTACTAGCAGCCAGATGGAGTCGATATTGTACAACAGTTTGGGGAGGACAGTTGTGGTGCTGTACAGTTCCATCGTCCTATGTCTGGAAATGCTAGCGTGTGCTCAGCAACGCTGCATAGCTTTGATCATTCCCTTGGCCTCACCGATACGTCGTGATACTTCTGGCTGGGTTGTCCCATTGGCTGTAATATGCCCTCCAAGATATACCGTCTGCTCCACTGTTGTCACCGGGCTTCCAGACGGAGCGAAAATAATGCCATCGTGTTGTACGCGCACGGGAAATATTTGGTCTCAGTTTCATTTCAAGCCGTACACTGACTCCGCTTTGATCGCAGTAGTCGAGGGTAGCCGCAGCTTGTTTGTGCCGCTGCTTACAGGCATGGTCTCATCGGCGTATAGTAAGTTTGTGGTAACAAGAAAGGGTGGCTTTTGGATGTCCAGGTTCCGGCCTTTCGCTGCTTTTGGCCTTTGTGGGTCCTCACCAGGCCCCCCAGAGGCCAAAAATATCCGATCCCTGGGGAAGGCCCCCGGACTGTCCAGAAATGCCTCGGGACGACAAGCCGGTCCGCGGGGAAGGGGTCTAGCAGAGGAGGAGGAGGAGGAGGAAGAGGAGGAGGAGGAGGAGGAGGAGGAGGAGGAGGAGGAGGAGGAGGAGGAGGAGGAGGAGGAGGAGGAGGAGGAGGAGGAGGAGGTGAAAAAAACGATGAGGAGGGGAGGAGGAGGAGGAGGAGGAGGAGGAGGAGGAGTAGAGGAGTAGGAGGAGGAGGAGGAGGAGGAGGAGGAGGAGGAGGAGGAGGAGGAGGAGGAGGAGGAGGTGAACAAGATCACGACGTCGGGGGTCTGGGGATGAGCCACGGCGGAGCGGAGGGGGAGCGGGCGAGGGAGAGCGGGCAGCGGCCAGGGTGGCCTCCAGGCGCTGGCTCGCGGCTTCCCCGCGCGGGGGTGTTTGGGGGACGGCTGGTCGGGAGAGGACTTGGGGTCTCAGCCTCGGGCGAAGAGAGCTAAGCACATGCATCGATTCTGGTCAGGCCCATCTTGGGCCCGGGATCGGTGCATATGCTTTCCTGGCCAAGGCAGGAGGGCATATGCACCGGTTCTGGGCTCAGGATGGGCCTGGCCAGAGCCGGTGTATGTGCATGGTTCTCTTTCCTCTACAAGCCCCCCGACGCCATGATTTGTTCATAACTCAGTGTCGTTTATCCGATCCCCATCCCCATCCCCATCCCCTTCGAGACCCCCACCAGATTCCCCCCCGCAGTTGGGGATACACCCCCTCGAAACCCGAAGGGAACGGCCTACATCCCTATCTAGCGGGGTAAATCGGCCAGTGGGGCCCAGGCCACGCCGCTGGGGATGGGGATCGGATAAACGATACTCAATAACGTGGACCCCAGAGATCTGGACCCCTGCCGGGGGGACCAGTTTTTCATCCTGAGTCATTCTTTGTCGGCGGCGAGCGAGGGGGGGGGAACTGAGAAGGAGAGTGCCTTCTCAGAAGGTTCGGAAGTCCCCCCGGCCGTCTGAGAAGTTCTCTAAGCCTTCCCCGAGGACAGAAAAAAACTTCTCAGGAGGCGCGAGGGCTTCTAAGAAGTCCCGCCGCCTTCTGAGAAGGCCTTCTACTGCTCATTTCCCCCCTCGCTCGCGGCCGATTTTGACGTTCCCGAAGCCCAGTCAGGGCCCCCTCTGTGATGGGACCGGGGTTCGCTAAGGGGATCGGCGGGGGATGTAGGAGGGGTATCCGCCTATCCTCTCAGCACCCCCCGCGCCGATCTCGGCAGAACTCTTCAGAGGCCTCTGAAAGCCTCGGGGAGGGCCAGACCCAGCTCTCCGATGACTATGTTTTTTTCGATCAGGGCGCGTTTCCTCGATTCGATCGATGTCGGCCCCCGGGGCCCCCTCTCGAGCCACGGGACCATCACATGGATCCAGGATGAAAAACTGGCCCAGGGGAAAGGTTGGAGAAAGTTGGAGAAAGCTCGACGGAGGGTCAGACGCGTCCAACGTGTCCTGGATCTTCGGGTCCCGACCCTCGGCCCTCGATCCTCGGCGACGGCGCCGACGCCGACGACGACGCGGACGGCGACGACAGCGACAACGCCGCTGCTGCCGACGCCGACGGCGCCAGCGCTGCCGCCGACGCCGGCGGCGCCCGGCGGGCGCGCCGAGGGCGCGCGGCCGCGCGCGCGCGCCCGCCGAGGCGGCGAGGGTGCGCGGCTTCCTGGCGGGCGAGCGCCTGGACGCCGGCATCGCTTTGTGCGAGGACGCCGCCCCGCCGCGCCTCGCCGCGGCGCGCCGCGGCGTCGGTCGGAGTCGCCCCTGCTGCTGCTGCGGGCGCCTCGCCGTCGTGCCGACGGCCGCGGATCGGAGGGAGGAGCCCACGGGGGCCACCCGCACAGGCAGGGCGGGCAGCCTGTTCAGGGGCACCCCTCGCATCCCCTGCCCCTTCGGCCCCCTCTTGGCGACTGTCGCCGGCCAGCCCCGCTCGAGGAGCGTTCACAGTTGCCTCCAGGACCCCTCTGCCTCCGCAACGCGCATCCTCACGATGCTCAGGAGGGAAAGAAACACACAGACACAATTAATCCTCCATTCCCCAGAAAATATGGGAAAATATGGGAAGTGGTGGGGAAGACAAAAACCGAGAAAATATGAGAAAATATGGGGAATTCTTTTATTTGTGTGTATTTATTTGTGTGTCCCAAGGCCCCTTCAGATGCGGGTGGACTGCACGTGCTCGCTTCGTGAAGGGTCTCGGGCCAGCAGCCTCTGGGGCACTCTTCTCCGGCCTCGGGGGACGCTCGCCGGACCTCGGCACCATGGAGGAACGACTCGGGATGATATTCTGCCCCGGGGCAGGAAAACTCGGGGGCGGAAACGAGGGGGGTGATGACTAGGGGGGTGGATATCATGGCGCGGGCCATGATATTTCCCCAGATTTCATGGCGCCTCTTCTTATTTCATTACGTCCCTGGCCCCCCCGCTGCGCCGCGCACATGCCGCCGGCCATGATTTGCACCCCCCCCCTCTTTGACGCCCCCCTCTTTGCCGCTCCCGAAAAACGGGACTTCCGGGGACTGCGCCTCGACAGCATTCACAAGATCCCACGTCTTTGGCGGCAGTCTTTCCGTTTCCCCAGCAGCGTTTCGGTAAGTAGAGGGTTCGAACAGTGATAGAAAGAACCACAGACGAGTCCCACAGAGGGGTGGTTCGGGTTGCTGCTGCTGCTGCTGCTGCTGCTGCGGCCTTCCTGTGCATGAGCCCAGCCGACTCCAACTTCTCGCGCCTCTGCTTCCTGGCCTCGCGAAGCCGTTCGTGGTCGGACATCGCTCCAGCTTCAAGGCCGAACAATCCGTCATCATCATCATCATCATCATCATCATCATCATCATCATCATCATCATCATCATCATCATCATCATCATCATCATCATCATCATCATCATCATCATCATCATCATTATTATCATCATCATCATCATCATCATCATCATCATCATCATCATCATCATCATCATCATCGTCACCATCATCACCACCATCATCACCACCATCATCACCACCATCATCATCATCACCATCATCATCATCAGCAGCAGCAGCAACAGCAGCAGCAGCATCTTCATCATCATCATCATCAAAGTCCAGATCCATGCCAGGATCACCTGCGGGGACGCCCTCTGCCGCCGCCCTCTGCCTTGCGCCGCCTCCCGCTTCTCCAGCTGCGGATGCGGCTGCGGCTGGGGCTTGGGCTGCGGCTTCGGGGGGGGGCTGCTGCGCGCGCGCGCGCGCGCGCTCGGCTGCCGCTGCGTCGGCTGCTGGTGCCAGGTACTCCACCTGCTTGGGCGATGCGGGCGCCCTCGTCGCCGCCCAGCCTGCCCTTGACGGCCTCCAGCGCCCGAGCCAGCTGCGAACTTGGCGTCGGCGGTGCCGCTGGCCCCAGGCCCCCTTCCTTCTGCGTGACCTTCGCATCCGTGTCCGCGTATTCCTTGATGGTTGCCCTCTGCCGTTCGAGCACCACCATCTCCTCGTCCAGCTTCGCCTTTGTGTCTGCCAGCTCCTCCTTGAGCTTCTTGACCCTGGACTGTGTCTCGGCGACCATGGCCTCCGTCTCACTCGTGAAGAAGGTTCTGCAGCCTGGGCTCCTCCTTCGGGGCGTCCTGTTTAGCCTTGCTCTCCTCCGCCCGACGACGAAATGCAAGGTCACTGCAAGCGCTCTGGGACCAGGACGAGGCCACCCGCGTCCTCCTTTGACATTTGGGGTGTCCCTGGCTCCGACTTGCTCTTGCTCCGCTCTGCCGGGTGGGACCATCATCACTCCATCTGTTGTGCCAGAGCGCTCTTTTTGGCGACTTGCTCGAACCGTAGAAGGTGACCTCTGGCTTGCGCTTCTTCTTTGCCACCCCACAGCACCGACACGCGGTGCGACACGCCCAATTCGATATTGTCGTACCTGACATTGCGCACGAACCGCACATCCATTCTGGGTGCCGTTCATCTCTCGCTACCCTGAAAGGCCCGCGCGGAGAACAACTGTTCCTAAACACCCCACGCCAGACCTGAGTCTCTTTCACACTCATCCTGCTCAGGCCAGGAACAGCTATGCTGCTGCTGATGAGATGATGACGATGATGATGCTGATGATGATGATGATGCTGATGATGATGCTGATGCTGATGCTGATGCTGATGCTGATGCTGATGCTGATGCTGATGATGATGCTGATGATGCTGATGCTGATGATGATGCTGATGATGCTGATGATGCTCTCGCTGATGATGATACTGATGATGCTGATGACGATGATGATAATGCTGCTGCTGATGATGCTGCTGGTGATAATGGTGATGATGATGAGGATTGTGGCTGATGGTGATGCAGATGATTGTGATGACGATGATGCGCATGGGGAGGAGGAGGACGAGGAGGAGGAGGAGGAGGAGGAGGAGGAGGAGGAGTAGCAGTAGGAGTATGAGTAGGGGTAGGAGGAGGAGGAGGAGGTGGAGGAGGAGGAGGAGGAGGACCTCCGTAAGCCTTAGATGCTTCAGCGATGCTGCAATACACCCTTCCCTCGCAAGTCCCCTCCTCATGCCCATACAAGCTTGCCTTCCTCACTTCAAGAAGAGCTCCCCTTGCAGGTCCAGCGCAGCATGGCCTGTCAGTTTGGCGAGGGGCCCGCTTTGAAACGGAACTGTTTTGCACCCGTCTGACGCATCCATGACAATATGGGTCAACTACTCTGGTCACGTGATGCAGCTTGGTTGGGTATGTCACAGGGTAATGGTTGAATGATTTGGGGCTCCTCGGAAGCTCCGTGGCCACTCGAAGTCGTCTCGGGGACTTCCTGGAGGCAAGTTGGATGCAGTCTTGACCCATCTTAGGCTCGCTCGTGCCATCCTGGAGGCAATCTTGGAGGCAATCATCTTGGGCGCCCTGACTGCTCGCGGCACCCTGATCCTATCCCCAGGGTAGGGGGTGGGGGGATGCGTGATTAAGTCTTTCCCCGAAGGGGCAGAAGGGAGTTGGAACAGAGGTCGCTCTAAATCACCTAGGCCCAGAGGGCCGATGGGACTTGCTCTGCCCATTCGGTATTTTGTGTGGCATTCGACATTTCACACCGACCCCCAGAAGACGCGTGACTTACAGGCTGCAGTGTCTCTGTTTCCCAGGGGTCCTGGGGCTTGGGCGCTGCTTGCACGACGGCGGCATCTTGGGAGGCATCTTTAGTGCATGTTGACTGATCTCGCGGCCATCTTGGGAGGAAGGCGCCGAGAGTCAGTTCGCAGATAGTTCTCTTGGGCCGTCCTGGAGCTGTGCTGTCTTTTTTGGAGGGGGTTGGCCGTGTCGGAACGAGGCCGGGGGCGTCTTGGGCCGCTTTTGCTTCGCGGAATCTCGACACCGAGGAAAGCATCACATATATATATATATATGTATTTTGAAGATCAACAGAAATTCCAAGAGGAAAGAGGGATGGGAAAGGAGGGGAGGATAAAGATGGATCATGGACAGCTGATGCCATCATTGGCGAAGGGGTAACAATGAGGAGGAGGAGGAGGAAGAGGAGGAGGAGGAGGAAAAGGATGACTGGGGGGAGGAGGAGGAGGGGAAGAACGAGGGGGGGAATGAAGAGAGTAG